CACCAGATCCAGGACTTGTAGTTGGCCATGTGGGAGTCCAGTGCCCTTGACCACCATGCCACCTGCTGGCCCCTCTTAGAATTAATTTTATTGCTGGACCAGCAGATGGCATAATGGTTATGTCGCTGGACTCCTACATGGTTGACTATGACTCGAGTCCTGGACCCAGTGACTTAAAACTCACGCCAAGTGCATGTGCATGCATGCACAAGATCTCAAGAGGAGAATGGAGGAGAAAGGATTGCAGCGTGGCCATCCCCCCTGGGGAGTGATTTCTTGCTTTCTGTCTCTGTCTCTTTTCTTGTTTTCTGTCTCTGTCTCTTTGGAGAGTGCACATGCCTTATAGCAAAAATCTCTCTTAAAAAAAAAAAAGAATTTTATTGCACCGCAAGCCCAGTGTCTTTGCCTCCTGTCAAAGCAGAGTCACATTGGATGTTTCCATTCTAGAGTTTACTCATTCTCTAACTACAAGGCCAGAGATGATTTGGGAAATAGCTGTCCATCTCATGGACTCGTGGCCAGAGTGGAATTACAAGGGAGGCCAAAGCTGCTTTCTGTGATTTGTGGGAAGACTGTTGTTTGTTTTTTGCTTTTAACCTTTCAAGTAAGAAATGATTTGTCATGTTCATGAAAACCACATGTATTCAGGGACTCATTAATCTTGGGGTAAAGAATGAATCTTGGTTTTAGAACCACGTAAATGTAGATGGAGATCAAGATTAGTCAGACACGTAACCTTCGGAAGGTGCAATACGCTGTTTCCTTTAAATGTATGTATTGACACTGAAGTTGCGCTAGTAATTCCTCCCGAAGTGCCACACTGAGCTCCCACGTGCTCGTCTTGACCGGGGGCAGTTCACAACTGCTCTGTAGGCAGCTGAACGCCTGTGCTCTGGTGGAGAGCCTGTGTGCACTGGTGATAGAAGCAGTGGTCTGAAGCCCACCTTCCTGGAGCCTGCTTTAGAGTTCTTCCCCCAAGTAAGCGGCTAACTTTACATTTTACATGGGGGGACCAGCAGATGGTGTAGTGGTTATGCTGCTGGACACCCACATGGCTGACTGCAGTTTGATTCCTGGACTCAGTGGCTTCAAAAATCATGCCGAGTGCATGTGTGTGCATGCCCAAGATCCCTGGAGGAGGAGGGGTTGCAGGGTGGCCATTCCCTCTGGGGGGTGATTTCTCACTTTCCCTCTCACTGTGTCTATTTCTCTCTCTCTGGCGAGCACATGCACCGTAAGGTTAAAAAACAAACAAACCAAACAACAACAACAAAAACCTACAAAATTTTAGATTGGGATCTAATATTAAGGATGATGGTGACGTGTAGAGAAGTGAAGATAATACTTGGTGTCTCCTAGAGGCAGCAAGAAGTCTAGTGGTCCAGAATTTGCTTCTTAGTTCAGACAGACTTGGGTTGACTCTCAGGAATATAGTACGGCCACTGTGGAAATAATATTTCCTCAGAAATTTGTAAATAGAATGACCCAGTAATCCCACACTTGACTATTTACCCAGAGGACGGGAGATCATTCTGCTGGAGGGACCCTTGCACATCCGTGTTTATCACAGCGTTATTCAGAGTAGCCGGATGAAGAACATGTGGCACATACACGCTCTGGAATACTGTTCAGCCATCAAGAACAGGGAGAGCCTGTCACTCAACACAAAGTGGACTTATCTAGATTTGATGCTAAGTGAACTAAGCCAGACTATGAAAGACACGCATGGTATGTTCCCCTTAACATATACCAAGTGTCTGCTCTCCCTGGCAGAAATGGAAAGATGGAAGACGCAGAGTAGAGAGGATAACTAGATATCAGATCCTGCCTCGGGGTGGGGTGGGAAGGGCTCAGGAAAAGCACTTAACAGACACAAGAATGCCTGTAAACAAGGCAAACAGGTTATGGAAGGAAGCCTGTACCACAACAGAGTTAAAAAAAAAAGACATTGCCGGTCATATATACGTACATAAAAATAACACTAGTAGAACAAAAATCAAAGGCGCACAACATGGTATGATGTTCTTTGTCAAAGATGGTGACTATGGTAATATCCTTGATTTGATTATCACTCATTGCATGCATGCTTTGTAAAACTGTATTTCGGGGCTAGCAGATGGCATAGTGGTTAAGGCAGCTGGATCCCCACCTGGCTGAACATGGCCGACTGTGGTTCAAGTTCCAGACCAGTGGCTTGAAATCATGCCAGGTGAGTGTGCCCAAAATCTGGAGTGGAGAATGGAGGAGAAGGGATTACAATGTGACCATCGCCTCAGGGGCTGATTTCTCACTTTCCCTCTTACTGTCTCTCTCTGTCCCTCCTCTCAGGCCAGTGCATGTACCTTATAGCAAAAACCCCTAAAAAAAAAAAAAAAAAAAGGAGTCAGCAGGCAGCATGGTGGTTAAGGCCCTGGACACTCTCACACGACCGACCACAGTTCTAGTCCTGAACCTGGTGACTTGCTTTGTCACTTTCCTTCTCTCTCTCTCTGTGTGTCTCTCTCTGGTCAAATTAAAATAAATGAATGAATAAATAAGATCAAATAAATAATTCTTTTTTAAAAAAAGAAAGCCATATTTCAATGACATGATTGAAAAACCATATTGTACCCTGCAAATATGTACAGAAGTTAAATGTTAGTAAGAAATTATAAAATAAATAAATAAAATGGCACATCCCAGCTTCATTCTGTTTTTTCTTTTTTTTTTATTCTTTCCTTCTCTCACTCTCTCCCTCCCTCCCCCACCCTCTCTTCCTTCCTCTCTTCCTCTCTCTCCTTTCCCTCCTTCTCCTCTTCCTTTCTTCCTTTTTTCTTTCTGATAGGACCAGCCCTCTAAGCAGCTGGGACTGTAGGCGTGTTCCACCCCACCCGCATTTTTCAGACAAGTTCTTGCTCTGTTGCCCACACTGGCTTCAGGCTCATGATCCTCCTTTCTCAGTCTCCCGAGTGGCTGGGCTGCACACATGCACCACCACTCCTGGCTCTTAGAGTGGCTGAGAATTGAACCTGGGCCTCCATGTGGCCTCAGCTTGCTGATTAGCATGCACTAAGATGGCTGGGCCTAGTTCACTTTAAGTCTTTGTTTTCTCTTCTGTAAAATGGGACTAGTAATAATAATACAAACCCTGTAGAGCTGTTTGATGTGCTTAGTAACATAATCCAAGGAAAACATTTAGCATTGTGTGTGTGCACATTGCTTTAAAAGCACGAGAGTAGTTGTGAAAATCTCAAGAATCATTTTAGGGTTCCCATGTGTCTGCTTCCACCATGCACAGGTAACCTCTCCAAGCTGTCAGGCAAAGAACAAACTCTCGCCACCTGGGGGCAGCATAGAGTCTCTGGGCAGAGGCTTGAGAACTAGGCTAACTGGGCTTTTATACAGGATTTACCCATCCTCTCAGCGATCCTGTTTTTGAGCTGTGAAATGAGAACAGTACTACCTGTGGTGAGGATGAAGGATAATATATGTACCTGTAGGGCAGCTAACAAGCTCCGCGGTCAGCTGGCTTTTAAAGAATTCCCCACCTGGCCATCTGCACATCCCGAGTCATGGTGATGACACAGGTGAGGGTCTCTAGAAGACTAGGCATGACTGTCCTTGCTGTCAGGCCGATCCTCACTCTTACCAGCCTAAAGGCAGACTGTGTCGCTCTTAGGGCTGGAAGTCTGGCCTAACTTCCTCCAAGCCAAGGCCTGTGGCACTATGTCAAGGGCATTGCCGCTCAGAAACACGTGCTTCACTTTACACTCTCCCTGCCCGGGAGCCAGCTCAGAGGCAGCCTAGCCATTACTCTCACCGCTACAAAGAGCAGGCAGGGGGCCAGCTGGTGGTATGGCGGTTAGGGCAGCTGGATCCCACATATCCGACTATGTGGTTTGAGTCCCAGACTTGGCAGTTTGAGAAACATGCCAGGTGCATGTGCATGCATGTCCAACATTCCAAAAGGAGACTAGAGAAGGGATTATGGCATGGCCGTCCGCCCCGGAGTGCTTTCTTATTCTTTCTGTCTCTCTCTCTCTTTCTCTCTGTGCAAGTGCATATACCCTATAGCAAAAGTAAAGAAAAATAATGAAAAAGGACAGGCATATAAGACTGAGTTGCAAATGCACACCGAAGGGGTTGTGACTTTTACCAAGCTGGCAAGAAGCATGAGAAAATAAGAGATGCTTGCTGTATGAAAAATGAAATTCGAAGGGCTAAGTTCCCTGAAGAACGTTCTCTCTGCTTTTGCTTGGTACTAGAAAGCTGCGAATCAATAAAAGGCTGCAGATGTCCTCAAGGTATCGATTCGTCACCTCGCTGTCTTCCCTGGCACCAGGCACCCGTTCCCACGGGCTGCTATTCAGGAGAGAAGGGGGCAGGGGGGAGGGGGACACGACGTTTAGGGACTCAGTGACAGTCGCTGACATCTTCCCTGCTTGTATCTTGCAGCCTACTTCTGCTTCCTCCTGACGGCCCTGGGGGTGACAGCCGGCGCCCATCGTTTGTGGAGCCACAGGTCCTACAAGGCCAAGCTGCCTATGAGGATATTTCTGGCTGCCGCCAACTCCATGGCTTTCCAGGTGAGGATGGAGGGTGCGCTCGCCTTGGGGACCCCGTGCAAATGGTGGTATGGGAAGATGGGCAGGCCCTCTCCATCCCATCCTGGGCTTGGACTCCAAGCACTCCCAGTCTGTCCCAGGCTTTATCTCTGCATTGCTGTAGAGTTGGTAAAATGTCCCCTGGGGGATTTGTACCCCTAGATAGTGGAGGGGGAAAGGAGACTCCTCCACCCTGAGTCCATGCTCTCAACATACCCTGAAGCTCTTAACAGGTGTCCGCCTCTAACCAGAGGCCACGTGTGGGCCGAGCGTGCTCTGCATGGATCAGATAGCCTCACAACAGCCCTATGAGCAAGATGCTGGAGGAATCTGCTTAGTGGGGTTAAAGCCTTGTCCAAATTATACAGCCAACTGAGCGTGCTCTGCGCGGATCAGATATCCTCACAACAGCCCTATGAGCGAGATGCTGGAGGAATCTGCTTAGTGAGGTTAAAGCCTTGTCCAAATTATACAGCCAACAACTGCTTGCCTCAGATAGACAGGTGTAGGTCAGCCTGCCTGCCGAGCTGGTGCTCTTACAGGACCTGTTCCAGAGGGTGCCCTGCAAGGCCATGGTGGGGAGATGCCCTGAAGTGAGAAGACTCATGGATTTCACTCTGATGCTTATTAGCTGAGTCCCTTCCTCGCCTCGTTTCTTCATCTGTAAACATAAGGATACCAGTTCGTCCCCAGGTGTTAGAAATCACTGGAAGTCGCGGGGAGGTGTAAAATGGTAAGAGAGGGTCATCGCTGCACTAGGACTGGGTCACAGCCTGGAGGACTCTTCATGTCACTCCTTCATCCCCCCTTCCCCCAAACTCTGGAATTTTGGGTTCCTCATGAATCTCTGTTTTCCCATTATCTCATCTGATCTGGGCAGTGTGGGTGGGAACAGCTTTTTTTTTAAAAAAAAAAGAAGAAGAAGAAGAAAGAAAGAAAGAAAAACAGTCTCAGCCCACGGGCCAGCAGGTGGCATGATAGTTAAGGTGTTGGACTCCCACATACCTGACTGTGGTTCGAGGACCAGATCAGGCAGCTTAAAAATCAAACCGGGTGCCGGATCAGCAGTTGGCATAATGGCTATTGGGCTGGACTCCCATGTAGTTGACTGCGGTTCGAGTCCTAGATGTGGTGACTTAAACTCATGCCATGCACATGTGCATGCATGCCCAAGATCCCAAGAGGAGACTGCAGGAGAAGGGATTGTGGCGTGGCCATCGCCCGTGGGGGGGGGGGGGATTTCTTGCTTTCTGTGTCTCTGTCTTTCTGGTGAGCACACATGCCCTATAGATAAAACCTCTCCAAAAAAAAAAAAATCAAACCGGGTGTTTGTGTGCGTGCCCCAAATCCCAAGAGAGTGGAAGAGAAGGGATTGTGGTGTGGCCATCCCCTCTGGAGGCATGATTTCTCACTTTCCCCCTCTCTGTCTCTCTCTGGGAGTAAACATGCCCTGTAACAAAAACCTAAAAAAAAAGTCTCAGCCCACAGTGATTCAGTGCTTCACAGAGGAAGCCAGATGCCACATGATGGACCAGGGTTGAAGTCCTGGTCCAGTGGCCATACGCCTGATGAACACATTCCCGTGATCCTGATGGAATGGATAAATTGGAGGAAAAATTATTGCAGCCTGACTAGGCCCCCTACTGAGGGGTGCTTTCTTTCTTTCTCTCTCTCTCTCCCTCTTTCTCCTGCACACACATACGTTCTCTGGAATAGAAAGAAAAGCAGCTTCTGCCCTAGTACGAGTGTAGATAATTGTAGGTCCGGTGTATTTCCACAAGTGGGAGGGAATAGTGATTTCTAAAACTGCGTCAGGGTCCAAGGAAACAGACGCCCAGGGGCCTCCCTGTGACCATCAGGCATACAACCTGGTGGCCACCTAGGCAATGGGCCTTCTGTCCCTACAAAAGAGCCAGGCACTGGGCATTTCTCTCACTGCTCTTGTGGCTAAGAATTTATTTCTCAGGTCCAGCAGATGGTGTAATGGCTACATTACTGGACTCCCACATGGCTGACCGTGGTTTAAGTCCTGGACCTGGTGGCTTGAAACTCACTCCAGGCATGTGTGCGTGCGTGCTCAAAATCCCAAAAGGAGAATGGAGGAGAGGAGACTGTGCTGGCCGTTCCTTCTGGGGAGCGATTTTGTGCTTTCTGTCTCTCTGTCTCTCTCTCCTTGGAAAGCACAGGCGCCCAAGAGCAAAAATCTCTCAAAAATCGTATAGAGCAGGATAGCATAAGAGCTATTACAGAGGCATGAAATTTGAACATGTATAGTATTCTCTACTGTACTGGTCCAAGAAGTATTTCCTGTTAAGTAAATTCTCTTTACAAGTCAAATGATGTATAGTGATTGAATGTTTAAAAAAAATAATGAGAATAAAAAAATAATCTGAAAAAAAAAAAAGCTATTTGATGACGATGACGTGGATAGCAATGTCTTTGCCTTGACTCGTATGCGTGATAATCATGCTGGAAAAAGAAATGTTATACACTGTAAAGACATATGTGATTAAATGCAACATAAAATGATAATTATTATTTTAAAAGGTCTGTAATAGAAAATAAATAAAAGAACAAAGGAAATCTCTTAAAGATATTTCATTTCTCTGTTGTAGGCTTCCCTCATGCAGCTTGAGCTTTCATTAAACGAATTGGATTTCATACAATAGATCAATTCAGGAGCCCGACTGCTGGTGTGGAGATAGACTGGCTGTGATTCTGGCAGAGTCAGGAACTAGTGGCAGAGGCCTGGGAAGCAAGCCCGATGCCCCCAGGAATCGCGGGCAGCCCCTCGGTTCCATGTTCTCTTGTTTGCCATTGCCACGTTTCTTTTTGACCTGGCCTGTCTTGTTTCACTGTTGTGCTTTGTGTATCACAACCTAGAAACCATTCACGTAGGTCTTAAATGCCATTCAGGACTTAACGCGATCATTTTCATTTCTTTTGTTCAAGTCATTTATTTTCTTTTTAGCTTCCAATTAAACACTCAAGTATTTATAAAACATCTCTGTTATTGGAATTTTTTTCCAAGATAAATAACTTATAACCCAGAGCCTAAAACTCTGGCTTTTCTTTTGCTCAACAAAAGTATTTGTTTATTGGGACCAGCAGCGTAATGGCTATGTCGCTGGACTCCCATGTAGTCGATCGCGGTTCAAGTCCCAGACCCGGTGGCTTAAACTTACACCAGGCGCATGTGCGTGTGTGCCCAAGATCCTGAGAGTAGAATGGAGGAGAAGGGATTGTGGCGTGGCCATCTCCTCTGGGGGATGATTTCTCGCTTTCTATCTCTCTGTCTCTGTCTGTCTGGCGAGCGCATGCACCCTATAGCAAAAACCTCTCCAAAAAATTTAAAAAGTATTTGTTTATAACTCAGTGTTTGAAAACGGAAGTTTCCATAACAAAATATCACATAACAGAATCTGAGACGGTGATTTTAAATTTATCCTAGGGAGAAGGGACAATGCAGAGAAAGTACCAGGTCCTGAAATAAATACTTCTGTCATTTGTTAGATATGAGCCTTTGTACAGATCTCAGTCCCTCTATCTACAAAGGGGAGATAAAAATACTTAACTGAGAGAGTTGATGAGAGAATTATACATGATGTATAAAAAGGGTTGAGTTGGGCCAGCCCTGTGGTATGATGACTAAGGAAACCTGAGCCCATATGGCCGACCATACCGTTCAAACCCCGGACCCGGCAGCCTGAGAAACACACCAGGTTCATGTACGTGTGTGACCCAAATCCTAACATGATGGGAAAATGGAAGAGAAAGGATTGAGGTGTAACCACACCCTCATTGGAGGGGAGGATATTTTCTCCTTCTCTCTGTATCTCTCTTGGGAACACACATGCCTTCTGGAAAGTTTTTTTTAAAAAAGTGCTGAGTTTATAGTAGTACTTTGGTAAGTACTGTTCCCCTCTTGTCTTTTATGCTAGTCAGCATACTCTCTCATTTGGAGGGTGCATGAACTCACCAGAAACAGAGAGAGGGCAGGGAGAAAGCATTCAACCATGGGATGTGGTCATGCTGCAATCCCTTCTCCTCCATTTCTCCATTGTCAGGATTTGGGGCACACAGGGACACATACCTGGTGTGGTTTTTCAAGTTGCCAGAGTCGAGATTCAAACCCCCCAATCGGCCATGTGGGATCCAGCTCCTTTAATCACCAGGCTACAGGGCTGGCCTTGTCTCACTCATTTCTATATTGAGTGTTTTTTACAGTCCAAAAGCACTCACTAATTGTTGAATTAATAAAAACAGAATGAATAACTTTAAAAACATATTTTAGAAATCATCAAATGCAAACTATGCATACGTCTTCAAGGCCCACATTTGTGATGGATTTTAAAAATTCATTTAACAAATATTTGTTGAGTATCTGGTGTGTGGCAAAAGCCAAGCTTGGCACGGGGGGTGTCATGAAGAACAGGGTCACAATCCTTACCTTTGTGGAGCTTTTCTGTCTAGTAAAATAGGAGAATGCCCACTGTTTTCCAGTGGAAATTCCGGTGCTTCATGAGTCTGGGGTTTTATAACAGGTGGCCTAGGTGAAAGGTACCAGTCAAGTCAGCAAAAGGCTAGTAGCGTCCATGCATAGTGGTGTCAGTGAGAAGACACAGAGTTGACCTAGACTGCTTACCCCCAAAAGGAGAACAACCTAGAGGAGTAGAAAAATGTGCTGTGATCTGCCAGAGTAGGGTACTGACCTACAACCCTGACTGAAAGCAGTCATTGATTTAGTTTCCTTTTGATGTCCACCTGGGTTTTGTTTTGTTTTGTTTTTAATACCAGAGGACAGGGTTAGTGGTCTGGGACTCAAACTACTGTCGACTACATGTTAGCCTGGCGACATAACCATTATGCCGTCTACTGGTCCCGATAGATCTGATTTCTTACCTATAGTAATTTTTTTCTCTCTCTGAAGAACTCTTACAAGGCAAATCTACTGATGACAAATTCCCTGATTTTTGTTTGAA